TTTTCTTTCAAATCTCTCCTTAAATCTCACAACTAAACATAGCATTAGTATTCAAAATTTGAGATTTGATTAAAAAAAAAACAAGAAGAAAAAAACAAAAACTTATATATATTCACACAGTAACCCCCAGACCCAGAGATTGACTTCATTGAAAAAGAAAAAAAAAAATGGAAAAGGGACGTCTCTAGTTAGTTCTTTCTGTCCCTTCTCCTTTCTATGGCTCCAATTACTCTCTCTGTGTGTTAGCTAATTTTGGTTTTTCTATTTCTACATATACTCTCCTCACATTCCAAATGCTACCGAGAAGTGTGGACCCCCCCCCCCCCCCCCCAAAAAAAAAAAACCAACAATTGTTTGTCAATGAATGAATTTGACTCAATGATCATGGGAGAAACGGTTGATTCAACGCTCTATATAATTGTCTCTTACGATAATAAAAAAGGTCAAAGATTTAAAATTTAACTCGATAGAACAACTACAATTCTTTTACTATAATCTAATTTATTAATCTCCTAACATCTTATCATATAATAATAAAAAAAAGACACCAAAATAGTTTGTTTGTAATGTGTCCCCAATTATTACAAGCACAAAATTACATAAAATCTTTTAACATTAAATGAGTCCGAAAATCATATAACCAAACACAGATCTTATACATATTATATTAAACAACTTGTTTACAACCACACACATCTTCTTATACATGTACATATTATATTAAACAACTTGCTTACAATCAAACACTCTTATTTTCCACCCCTCATCTAAAAATGATATGTATATTTTGATTTGATTAATTTTTTTAAAAATAACATTTTCACCCATCAAATTAGACTTGACGGTTACTAATTTGGGCAACAACATTCAATTGGACTACATTATAAATAAAATTAACCCAACAAAAAAAAAATACAAAAACTTGAGGGCAATTCATGAGTACTGAGAAGTGGGCGTAGGGTTTGTAGACCTAGTGGTGGAGGAAAATGCTCTTGTTGGGTGGTCCCAAACCCCCCCCTATGCATGTTCTGGTTCTATCTATGCATCATGCACTCTGTTCTGTATTTTGGGGTATGTATTTGTGGGGTATGGCCTTTTGTTGGGTCACCCTCTGTCCCTCTCTTGATCACCACAAAAAGAAAGTGCCATGGCAACCCCCTATACCAGCCCCTCTATGCATTTTCAGCAGCTATTAAATAGCCATCAAACCCATTTGTACCTTTGGCTTGGCTTATTTTGTGCGTCTGGGCCACGGCTATGCTATCCGGTTGCTGAGAATTTGATTCAAAAGAAGCAACATTGAGCCTCCGTTTAGAAAGTGGGTTAACTTTTTGACTTTTTTAACTATTTTAGCCTGAGTTAAAAAGTTTGATTTGGAAAGAACTTTTTGACTTTTTGGTTTTTTTGACTTTTTTTGTGAGAGAAGAGTGAAATGATTATGGGTTGGATGTGATGTTTTGTTTATTATGGCTAAAATAGTCTATTTTGTTTTTTGTGGCTAAAATAGCCAAAAAAGCCCAACCAACTTCTTCCCAAACGGTGCCTGAGTTGAAACTTCAACAAAGTCTTGTTAACTTGAATCAATTTTTATTTAGTGACAACTAGAGATCAATGTGATGCCAAAGAAGCACCACGAGATATGTTGCCAAAGTGACAATAGATATGTTTACGACTACAGAACTAGGCTGGGATTGTCTAAACTTATTTCTCTTAAGAGTGATCTTAGAATAATTTTTTATATGTATGAGATTTAATTCTACCAAATTGAAGGTACAATAATCATTTCGCCTTCTAACTTTCAAAGCCCTAACCTTCATTACTTTACAATCACTATAGAGAATCCTAACTCAAACCAGACTCCAAATGTTTTTGCTCTATCTTGCTCCAAAATATTTTATACGGTTTTCGGTTTGAGTTTAGATTTTACATAGAATAAGAGAAGATACTATGGAGGAGGATGTATAATAAAAATATAGACTATTTGTATACGGTCCGGATCGGTTCCAATCCGGAACCGTGAGATTCAATCCGGAACCAATCCGTGAACTACGAATTTTTAATTATTCAATCCGAAACCGAACCACGGATTCAAAAAACCAATCCAAACCTATCGGATTGGACTGGATTGGATTACGGATTTCACGGATTCCTTGCTCAGCCCTACTCCGTTTGGGAAGTGGGTTGACTTTTTGACTTTTTAACTTTTTTAACTATTTTAGCCTGGGCTAAAAAGCTTGATTTAGAAAGGACTTTTTGACTTTTTGACTTTTTTTGTGAAAGAAGAGTGTAATGATTATAGGTTGAATGTGATGTTTTGTTTGTTGTGACTAAAATAGTCTATTTTGTTTTTTGTGGCTAAAATAGCAAAAAAAGCCCAACCAACTTCTTCCCAAACGGTGCCTGAGTTGAAACTTCAACAAAGTCTTGTTAACTTGAATCAATTTTTATTTAGTGACAACTAGAGATCAATGTGATGCCAAAGAAGCACCACGAGATATGTTGCCAAAGTGACAATAGATATGTTTACGACTACAGAACTAGGCTGGGATTGTCTAAACTTATTTCTCTTAAGAGTGATCTTAGAATAATTTTTTAAATGAATTGAGATTTAATTCTACCAAATTGAAGGTACAATAATCATTTCGCCTTCTAACTTTCAAAGCCCTAACCGTATTACTTTACAATCACTATAGAGAATCCTAACTCAAACCAGACTCCAAATGTTTTTGCTCTATCTTGCTCCAAAATATTTTATACAAAAAACTTTAATAAAAGTCATTAGGTAAACAAGCAAAATCTTTAACACATATCGAAGTCTGTTAATTTTGTACAATTACCTAGACAAGCTATATAACTTATATGTACTATAAAAATTATTATTATCATTAATGAAAAGAAGCTTAAAAAAAAAACACACCATATAAACTTCAACTAGACATTCTCAACATACAAAAAAAAAAAAAAAAAAAGAAAAGAAACTTACTCAAAAAAAAGAAAAAAAGAAAAATCATTTAAAACCAATTTAAAAAATAAATAAATAAAACTTGACATTTGTTAAAAAACTATATTTGAACAACTTATTACTCAATTTAACTGAACTAGTTAATAACCATATACTCTTTATTTGCCTTGCCCACAGCGTTGATGAAGTTACATACACCACCACCCCCCTTGAGTTTTGACCCATACATGGAACTTGGTTTTACTCCCTATTAAGTGCAACCACCAAGTACTACTAAATTGTTGGTTTTTTTTTTTTCCCCTCTGAAAAATAAACCAAGAAACAACAAAACATAGGACTTGACATGCAAGGAGAGAGACATTTGAATTTAGCCAAATAAATAAATAAATCCAAGCGAGTGATTCGAACCAACCATAATTGACGGGATGGTAACAAAAAACCCAAACAATCTCAAGACAGTACCCCAAATAACAAACCCTTCACGGTGGGCATCACTAGTTGGGCCAATAATCTATCCCCTAAAGGAAAGATTGCACAAACCACCCCATTATTTGCCCAAGACAATAAAGATCATTGCATCTCAAAACAATGCTAAGAAACTAGCCCATGAAGTGAATGGTTCTAGTTCAAAAAATGAAACAATAAAGATACTGCCAGGCTAAAAAATTGCTAATACCAGGATTCAGATTTGTTGTTGCAGAACTAGCTGCCAATCCTAAGTGGAAAACTTGGCCTTCCTTGAGTAAGGGGTGCAAGCTGTAAAACAAGTTCTTAGTTACAAGTAATAATTCCAGTACTCCCAAAAAGTACTCCAAGCAAGAAAGGTCAGTGGGGACCAGCGAGACCTGGTGCATTATCATGGTCAATGCAAAAGTTGCAACAAGGTAGCTGTCAGAAAATATGTTGCTAGGTTGAATAATTGTGACATAAATGCCCCCCACTCCTAACAAAATGAAGAAGAAGAAGGGAAACAACGATTGCCTTAAACAAAGTGCCAAGCCAAACGCATTAGTCAAAAGAATTGAACCTACTCTCATCCCAAATGCAATCACAGTTCTCACAAGGATAATGGAGAATTTATGTTCTCCTTCAAACAATATGTCAAGCAAAGCACCATATATATATATATATATAAATAAACTAAATTCCAATATTACCACTATAGAAAACATATCCAAGTCAAATAAGGACCGATATGTTAAATCTTCAACACCAAGGAAACAAAACGGAACTGACCGAGTTAATCTCCAAGGTGATTTGTCCTTTTTGTCTATTTATTTACTAGTAGGATAAGGCACGACACATTCCAAAGGCAGATCAAGATCTTTTATCCCATGGCATATTTCTGGGTCCAGGATCGAGCAGTCATCTCATACTTATTTCTGTCGGTCTTGTACATATGGGCAATCTCAGGCACTAGAGGATCATCAGGGTTTGGGTCCGTAAGCAGTGAACAGATTGATAGCAGCACCTATACACCAATAGCATTCGATAAAATATTGGTGAGAGATTATTACCCATACTAATGTCATAGTTATAATACATTCTTTTGAAGCTATATCTTACTTACAAAACTGAATCAAACAGACTTTTGTTTACACAAAGATTATGCCAGCAACTGACAGATCCTACATATATAATGGAATCTAACCAGTGCAAATGAAGAAAGTGCGTCACCTTCGATATTGTAAGCGCTGGGCTCCACTGTTCTTTAAGAATGTCAAGGCAAATGCTACCATTGCTGTTAATGTTAGGGTGGAACACTTTTGTTTTGAAGGAAACCTGCCAAACACAAAATTAGGAATCTTTAATACAACAAACTTACTAATGAGCAGCAGAAGAAATCCAGTCCAAGGTTGCAAGGGTTAGTACAGTACAAGTTAACACTTAACGGAATTAGAAGTGTTGTAACAAATGCATTTAAAAATTGCCGAACATAGTTCAAGGTACCAAAATAAAAAGGCCAAACATACAGACAAAAATACATTGGTTCAATGGTAAAACCTTAGCCTAACAACCTTGAGGTTATGGACAACCACTTTCTGCACTGTGGTTAGCTGTGTACCCAATCTTTCTTCTCTCAAACACACATTAATGTGTACTAATTGGGCCTTTTTTTACAGACACAAATACAACTACATATTTTACCTACATAATTATGTATATAGACATGGATATAAGAAGAAACATGTCAGAGAGACGAAAAAATACACGTAAGCAGTTATGCATAGTCATGGAACAAGTGAATGTATTACCTTTGGTGGCTTGAATGGATAATCTGGTGGGAAGTGAATGGTAACAAGAAACACACCCCCTGCAAATGGGCTGTCTGAAGGTCCCATAATCGTTGCTTGCCAGTGGAACATGTCCTCACCAACAGGACCTGTAACAATAAAAAAAAACTTCTATATTACGACCATAGCTACAATAATTTTCAGAGAGGATGACACAAGGTCAAAAAAACAAATTCACAACATTTACTGTAGTTGCAATTTGCACTTGGGGCTCAAAATATTTCTTGCAATTTCATCAAATGATTCCAATTTCCACCCACAAAACTCACCAAATACCAAATCACACAACTTTATTGCATGTGTACCAAGAGTGATAACCCTTTCCACCCACTGTATTAAAAATCAATATATTCAACAGAATATTGTTCGAACTAAATTATGAACATGGTTAAAATCAAAATGTAGTATAACATAGGGGCTAGATCGAGACAATTACAAACTCCTAAAGTTCTAATATCCAAAAACATTAAAACTTCTAACAAGAGTTATACCACTATAAGCATCAAGGATTGGTACATTAGACACATTCAGAATCCCTTAATTGAAGTAGAAAAAAGCAATATATGACTATAGCCCTGTTTGGTAGAGCTGTGGGAAAGTGCTTATAGCTTATGTCTAAACAGCTTATAGCTTATAACTTTCAGCTTAAGCTGATTTCCAACTTATTCTTAAAGCATCTCCTGCCCCACTCAAAGAATAAGCTGATTTCTGATTTCCACAAATCTATAAGCTATAAGCTATAAGCTATAAGTTATAAGCTAAATCAAACACATCAAAATAGCTTAAATTAAGCTGAAAGCTGAAATAAGCTGTAAATAATTTCTGCCAAACAGGCACAATGAATGGAGTCAAATGCAGAAATCAGATGACAAAACCTAAATAAATAATCAACTGCAGAAATCGGATGACAAAAAACCCAAATAAATAGCCAAGTAATTGGGATTAAAACTTGTCAAGTTAAAAAGTCGAAAAACATTAACACTGTTTAGATATCATATAAAAGCTTGCTAAAAGCTTTGAGATCAAGTACATGTTTTGCTATACATTTAACCTTAATAACTTTGTCTTCCCTGGGATGATTCATAAGTTCACAATGACTCTTCAAATCAAAGATCTCATATTGCTAACAATATGACTACAAAATCCACATCTAGTCATAAAACTCTGTACATGACCCACTCATCCCAACAGATTAGAAAAGTCACATCCTACTAAACAATAATCTTGACACCAAAAAATGTGATATCATCGTTCCAATAAACCAATTTGCCTCACCAATCTACGGGTGCCCATGAAAACATCGAAACCAGAAGTGTCATATGATCATACATTGGGGAACTTCTAAATCCACCCTTTCAATTTCTTTCCACAACCACCATATGGAAACTTTTGTCCCTTAAAGAGAAATCATTTTACCATTAAGAGAGTGTAGATAGAAATTAAATGGGTGTAAGTAGAAGTGAATGGGGTGCTTGGGACCACCCTTATACTGCGACCCTAAGAAAGGAAGAAATTTATGTGCAAACAATACAACTTGTAGAAGTTAAAAGGTGTGAAATAACAATAGAACAAACCAGCACTGCAAGATGCAGGAGGATCCTTCTGCAGGTCCTTTAACTCCTTCTGAATCCTCTTTGAAGCCATAATTAATTCTAAAAAACCACAGGATTCTCACTGCAAAAAATAAAAAATAAAAAATAAAAAAAATCAAATAGAATTGTGGTTAAAAATCAGAGGCTCCTAATTGCTATAGATGGCCATTAGAAAAAAATTCTATAGTACCACAGAAACTAAAAAAAAATGTATAAAAGTTAATGAAATTAAGGATACATTCATCTCTTCAATAAAAATAAGATGAAAATTTCACTACACGTGTTCAAAACTTTGATTATTTATTTTTATTTTTATTTTTTTTCTATTAGGCACAAGATACAAGTATGCGTAATGCAACAATAATTGCAACCCCAACAACTGTCAGGTTCCGTTTCTCCTTTCTTTGTTACCATTGCAATAGGTTCAGTGACTGAGAAAGGTCAAGAACAAATTTTGGCAAAATAAAAAAGTAAATTTGTTTTAATTACCACTAATAAATAGAACCAACAAGATTGGGATCATGACAACTCAAAAAAACAATTCCAATAACAGTCGAAAGGTTATGGTTTTCTTTTCTTCATTATCTAGACTACCATTTCAATCTATTCAGTGACCGAGAAAGGTCGAGGAAAAAAAGTGAACTTGTTTGAATTATTACCACTAATAAAAGTTCCAACACGATAGAGACCATGACAATATTTATAAATAAAAAAATACGTTTTTTCCCCGCTTGCATGCGCTTTCTTAGCAACCAATCAAACATTAAAGGAGTGCGTGAAAGCTAAAACCCACCCAACAACAACAACAAAAGAAGAATAAGAAAAAAAAAACAATAATCGATCAAAACCTCACATGCATCGATCAAATCCAGTAAAATCGAAGGCATCACAATGATCTATCAACGAGAAACACAAAAATTCAAACAATCTATAGACACACACATACATACATGAACCCTGAAAGGACACACAACGATATCGATCAATTATTACCAATCAAAATCATAAAATTGAAAGATATACAGAGTAGACAGTACAGATGCGAAGATAATACAGGAGGCTTTTTCAGTAAGAATCGAAACCCTACCGAGTGAAGGAACAGAGACGCTAGGGTTTGCTTTGGAAGTCTCTCTCGTATTTAGGGGAATCGAGAGAGAGAGAGAGAGAGAGTAGTTGAGTTGTATTAAGCCCTCGCACTCACTTTAATTGGTATTTATATATATACATAGAGAGAGAGAGAGAGTGAGTGTCCGCGTGTCGTTTGCTTTATGAGCCCGTTGGCGGTCCATCCTATCTCGCACTTGGGTTGCACACCTTTTGAGAATTGAGTCCAGATTCCCTCCTTGAGGCCCCTCCTTCATTCCCTCCTTGCAGGGGCCTTCGGGTCCACTTTGAGGCCCAGTTTTGATAATCCGAACCGTTCATATTTTTAGATTTATTCAGTATATTATACCTGTAAAAAATCAAGTTGATCGGATATCAGAAAGTATGCGTTCAGAAAATTGGGACTACAAACTATTTTTTAATAAACAGTTTTCCGAACACATACTTTATGATATTCGATCAACTTGATTTTTTACAGGTATGATATACTGAATAAATCTAAAAATATGAACGATTCGAATTATCAAAACTGGGCCTCAAAGTGGACCCGAAGGCCCCTACAAGGAGGGAATGAAGGAGGGGCCTCAAGGGGAGGATCCCAATTCTTGAGAATTGGGCTTCTGTGTTTGGATTTGTGAGGCTTATTCAATGGATTTGGTTTGAATTTTTTGCATTCAGCTAAAATTTTTTTTTTTTTCTCATTTCTTACAAAATCACCCCCATTTAAATAGAGTGTAATTACAACCTAGTGAATCGATGACTTTCTATCTGCCAAATCACTTGGAACTTGGAAGTAAAACCCTTAACTATAATAGAATTCTATTTGGTGAGTGTCCTGATAAAAACTTATTAATAAATTTAAAATAGTTACACATTTTTAATAAATATGTATCATAAAAATATATAATTATTTTAAATTTATAGATCATTTGAAAATAAAGAAAAAAAATATCTTTATATGTATATATATATATTTTACTTTTTCAATCTGCCTTGAGTAAACAGGAAAAACAAAATTAAACATTCTAAAAAATAATTAAAAAGGCCAAAATAAACTTAAAAAGCCCACTATTTTGTCCATTCTAAACTATTTTTAGGATTTTTTTAAATAAATTTTTAGAGTAAATGGAAAAGAATATGTAGCTTTGTAGAGTGAATGCGATTTTTTAAAACTTTTTTACGAGTTAATTCCTTAGAATTTTTAATAATTTTTTTATTAAAATAGTCACTTACTAAATGGGCCTATGATTTTCGTCAAATTGAAGTAGTCTAATAATTACTTGCATCATTTCGGCCTTAGCAATTTTGGGCCTGTCTGACCACCCAACTTTGGAGATATATATTTTTGTTTGGGCCAAAACTCATTGAGAGTTTTTTCGTGTTTTTTTTTTTTTAAATGACATTCTTCAATCGGGCCTTGGCTATATTTTGGGACCTCACTTTTTGAAATTTTTTTTGTTTGCTTGTTTTTCTAATGGAAACTTTTTGATTCTTGATTTTTTTGTTTTTTTTCCCTGCAAAACTCTTTGTGATTATTATTATTATTGTGAAATTTGGATCAATTTTGAGAATTAGGGTTATCAATTCTACAGGTATGTCTATTTATATTGTCGGCTATTTTGGGAAGATGATTATAATCAGTTTTTTGTAAGAGAGTGAAATGGGGCAATTCTATTTCCACACACCAAAACATCTCATTCCACATCCTCTCTCAATACACATGCCAATTAATTTTAAATTTTATAATTTTACTCAATGCACAACGAACTAGATAGAAAGCAAAACCAACATTGCCATTGAAAACAATAATTATGTACAAAACCCAGTTCTATAATCAGAACCAGCAAGAATGTATATATATGTATTATTATATGCAATAGGGGTCAAATTTGGATATGAACCATAAAAATGCAAGAAAAACCCATATGTAATCCATTGCCAATCATGCGATTAACGGAATTGTTGCCACCTCTACCTACTCCGACGACCTTGATCTTGGCCACGTCCATTGGAGTAAACGAGCTACTGCAAGTACAGTAACGCTTCGAGGGACTTTGACGACGAGCCTGGAAGGAGAAACATGTTCTTGAGACGAATGGAGAGAAGGTTTTGTGGTTAAACCCACTGAAAATTAAGGAGGAAGAAGAAGAACACATTATTAACTCAGCTGGGTTTGTGAGTTGGAAGGTAGCCATTTGTGCCACTATTTGGTTTCCAAGAAAATGAGGACAGAGAATGGGAATGAGAATTTGTTTTCTCTACTGAGAGAGTGAGAGAGAGAGTAATCGGAGGTCTAGGGTTTTAGAATTTGACGGCTTCGAAAATTTTTCCGCAAAAACGTTAAAAGGTCTCGGCGGTGGCCAGTGATTGGGAGAAGGTGGAGGTGGTAACGGTGGAGTCAGCGGTGGTGGAGGTCATGATCTAGGGGATAACGGAGGAGGAGGAAGGGAAGATCCAATGTCAACAATGGTGAATCCATTCAACAATGATCAAAGTGTGTGCACAGAGGAGATGAAGAAATTAGGGTTTTGGTGGAGAAGATAACAACACTTTAGTAATTTTATTTTAGAATAAAATTGTAATAAAAAAATAAATTATTAAATGTGTGCACAGAGGTAGGTGAGTGTGTGGAAATAGAGTTCCTCAGAGAAATGGGTTATAATTTGAGAAGTGGATTATAACCTAATTTCCAAAAGACCCCTGTATCTTAAAATAGTGGTGCGGATGTACTAAGACATCTTAGGGCCCTCTTAATCTCTCTCTAAGATATAACTACCTCAGACTTCAACATGTAAACCCACTTATCTCAACCCAATTATGGCATTCTTTGACAAATATTAGGGCTGAGCAAGGAATCCGTGAAATCCGTAATCCGATCCAGTCCAGTCCAATCCGATAGGTTTGGATTGATTTTTTGAATCCGCGTTTGTAGCAATCTGTGATGAAGAATGCAAGTTGGATTTTTATAATTTATCCTTTTGTTGGTTAGTAATTATCCTCATGTCCTAACATGATCTGGCATGCTTTGGACTAGTTACACAAACTTCCTTGAGTTATTTGACGATATATTTTTTTTTTTTCTTCCCCTTTTTTAATTATATTTCATCCCCCATAATATCTTCTTTTATTCTATATGAAATCTAAACTCAAACCTAAAACCGTATAATATCTTCTTTTATTACTTTTGTTTGTTAGTTTTTAATTTTAATTTGTAATTGTCGAAATACTTATGGTGAAACCAATTTTCTTCTAATTGTTTAAATTTTAGAACAGTATGTTACTATTATAGAAAAACATGTTGCTATTGTGGAACTAATACAGTGCTATGTTTATGTTTTTATGAAATTAAAGTGTTATATATATATTTGTTATTTAATTATGTGAATCCGTGGTCCTAAACCGATCCAATCCGTATTTAAATGGATTGGTTCGGATTGGTTCCATGATTTAAACGGATTGGATTGGTTCCAATTTTTTAAGAACCGTAGATAACGGATTGGTCTTGGTTTTACCTCAATCCGGTCCAATCCGGACCATGCTCACCCCTAACAAATATAATCAAGGCCCATGTAGTGTTGTGTAAATATTCCAATGATGTTGATAAGCCAAGCACTGAACTTTAGATGGTGAGTTGGGTTGTTTTGTAGCAATCTGTGATGAAGAATGCAAGTTGGATTTTTATAATTTATCCTTTTGTTGGTTAGTAATTATCCTCATGTCCTAACATGATGTGGCATGCTTTGGACTAGTTACACAAACTTCCTTGAGTTATTTGACGATATATTTTTTTTTTCTTCCCCTTTTTTAATTATATTATTTTTCTGTTAGTATAAATAGCAAAAAAAAAAAGAAAAAGCGACCTAATGCGGTCCTTAGCTCTATTTGACTCTAATAAAATATATTCAAGAGACTTCTCAATGTTAGTATTTTTTTATAATAATACAAAAAAATATATAAAAAATTAAATAGAAATAATAATTTTTTTTTAATAGATGAAATACAGAATAAACGACACAACTAAATACGAAAATAAATTAGATTACATTACATTACTAAAAAACAAATTATTAACATGGATAACTAAAAATTAGAACTCGTTGAGGTAAACCAAATTTTGAAAAATTAAAGAACAAATAATAAGAAAAAAAAAACAAACTGAAACTTGTGTGATACTACAATCTCCTTAAAATAGATTCACCGCCTCTCGATAGGTGCTGGAGGTATGTCAGTGTTTGTCTCTCAGGATACGACGGTCGAAACCAGCTAATGCAGAAGCACCTTTTGAATAGTTTCGGCGAACTTGACAATGGTTACACTCTCTCTAACAAGAACCAAAGAAAAGGCTAACAAAAGAAGATATGCAAAATTTTCTTTGGTGTAAAAAATCATTTCCAACTTTTTATTTCAAAACACTATCTTATTTTCCATCACAATACCTCTCTAAAGCAACCTACTAAATTGAAGGAAAAATGCCTCTATTTATATTAGTAGGGGAGAACCTTAGCCATGAAGGCTAACATCAATGCGGTCATCAAACGCCATCAACTCTAGCCATTAGGGCTAGAGTTACAAAGGTTTAAAACTCCAAAACCATTATACAAATCTGTGGGGATATATTTTGTGAATACCAACACGTGGCATGGTGACGCCGACGTGTCAGCCGAGGTGCCACGTGTCCTGGTAGTTACGTCGAGGTGATCTCGGAATTGCCGAGGTTATCTCCAAAGATATCGGAATCCGAGATAGGCGGATAGGGGACAAGAGTCCTAAGACGAAGAGGGGACTTAACCTAGATAAGGATAAAGCTCTTAGGGAGTTTATCTTTATCTCTTAAAGAGTCCAAAGTAAACATTGATATGAAGTTCATAGAAGTCATACTTCTAGTAGGACTTGGATTGAGTATATTATAAAAGAGAGGCACCCCCGTGGGTCTAAGGTATGCAATTTATGTTTTGAGTATTAAGTTTTGCACTTGATTATCTTAGAGAGATATACTGACTTGATCGTCGGAGTGCCCCCGGGTGGAAGAACCACCCCCGGATATAAATAAATTAATCCCTAATTAAATTACACTTTATCGTATACCAATAGAAAATTATTTATTTATTTTATTACCACACCCACTATTATTATTATT